GCCGCCGACCGGGACTCCACGGCCCCGCCAGGCAGGTAAGAATCCGGGATTTGGGGAATCGGCGGGGCTAGGGCTGAGGGAGGGGGCAGGGGCGCCCCGGATGTCCTTGGCCGCGCGCCGGGCTCGGGGCCCGGCTGTGGGGTGGCGGTGTGAGGAGGGGAAGGTAGCCCGGGCGACGTTGAATTGGGTTACACCCCGGTCCCCGGTGCCCCGTCCCAGATCGCAGCTGGGCTGGGAAGGTGCGCCCCCATCCCCCGCCACCAGCATCCCCAGCCCGAACCCGCCTCCCTGCGCTCGGGAGCCAAGGGCTCGGTGGCCGTGCCCGCCTTACGGCCCCGCCGGCCACTCCCCCGCCTCTCCCACCTGAGCCCCTAGCCCTTTACTGTAACTCCACCGTTCGAGGTCCCTCCTTAGATCACCCCAGTTCCTACCCCCAACGGGAGGGGCGTCTAGGCCTCGGTCTCCTAACCCCCTTTGACCCCCTCACTCTCCTGCTTCTCCTTCCAGGCGCTTCTGATCCCCTCTCTACCCGTCCCCAAGCTCCCCACCCCCACCCCGTCTCCGTTCCCGGCTCCACTGGCCGGCGCGCCCCCTCGCCTCCCACCCCTGAATCCTGCTCCCGGTGCCCCCGCCCCCTCTCTCCGGCCGGGGCTCTCCCCCTCCAGGGTCTCGGCCAAAGCCCCAGTGCCTTCTCCCCACCTCTCCCTGCCTCCATTCATTCTCCCAGGCCGCCAGCCGCCCCCCGTCCCCCTTCAGCCTCTTAGGGCACCCCCTCTCTCCCCTTCTCCACCCCCCTGCCGATTCCTCAGCCCGTCTCGGTACCAGCTGCGTGCCAGCTATTCTTAGCCGCGGAGCGTTTGATTCATGCCGCCCCGGCGGAGTGTGCCCGCTCCCTCCCTCGGGGCCTGAGGGGGAGGGGCCGGCATTGGTCCTGGGGCTCGGGGACCGCCGCGCGTGCCGTGGGCCTGGGTCCCGTGTGCCTGGGTCGGCTCGCCTTTTATCCCCCCAGTCACTTCATTGGTGCCAAACTGAAGCTGGGGAGTCAACCAGGGTCAGCCAAGGGGGAGTGGCTGCAGGCCCCTAGGCCGGAGATAGAATGTGGGTGAAAGCGGGGAGAAGGTTAGGATACTCGGGCTCCGGGAAGGGCAGGATGGGATAGCGCTTCTGGGTACCTGGTCTGAGAAGGGGCTGCTTAGCCATGTCCCCTCGTGGGGTAAGGGTTGGAGGGCCGGTTCTTGGGTGCTCACTCGCCCACGGTTCATGGAACTCTCCTGCCCACCCCCCACATTTTGTCTTCCCTTCCCCACCCCCCAACCCATCCCCACTCCCCCAAAGTCAGCAGTACCCTCCACTGCTTCCCATCTCCATGGCAACTGTGCAGGAGCCGGGACTGGCGTGGGGGGGAGGGACCAGACCAGACATTCTGGTTTCCGGTGTTGGGGTGGGAATGGGGGAGAACACGGGGGAGGCGAACCCCATTTTGGACTCACCCTTATAAGGCTACCTCAAGAAAAAAGAACAGTGTGGGAGGGTCTGCAAGTGACCTCCCGGTCTAGTCCCCAGACCCTCCCCCACTTGGTAACTAACCTCCCCGACCAGCCCGACAGCCCCCCACGGAGTGGTGCCACCAACACCAGGCCAATTCACCCACCCTCAGTATTAGCCCTGGAGCATTCCCATAGGCCACCTGTAGCGACTAGACAGCGACCCAGGCCACTTCATCCCCAATTTCCTGGGGGGTCAGCCTCCCGCCCACCTGCATGCCCTTTTCAAGATGCTTTAGACAATCACCCTAGGCTGGTTCCTTCAGGGACACCCCACTCATGGTGCGGTGCCCTGTGACACCCCATCCTTGCTCCCCTGGGACAAGGATCCCGTTGCAGTCCTGTGCTGGGCGCACACACGCTGGCATCCACTCGACTCCGTGGAGTCACTGGCCCCACCTGCTCTCAGCACCCGCTCCTCCAGCCCAGCACCTCCTTCTCTCTCTTACTACCTAGCAGGCTCAGCCTATTCCCCGCCACCCCCAGCTCCCTAGGAGGAGGAGAGGAGACAAGGGCCCAGAGTGAGGGCCCAGGCCAGGGCCAGGAGGGCAGGATGCCGGCCTCACTGTCCACCTGTCTGTCCTCTGCTAATTTTAGCTGCCTTTTCTGTGGCCTGGCAAAGTGGGCCAGTAGCTCCCGCGGTGATTGTGCGGTTTCTGGGACATGGCGACGCTGGGTCAGCGGCAAAGTGGGGCGCATGGGGGCGGGGGGCTGCGAGGAGGGCCAAGGGCAGGGAAGGAGACATGTGCGGGGAGCGTGGCCGGACTGGGGGTGTGTGCGTGTGCGTGCGCGCGCGCGGAGGCGAACGAGGGGGTGTGCCCAGCCTACTTCCTGCCTACAGCTGTGGGCAGTGGGGGGCGCAAGCGGCCGCTGCTCCTGGGGTCTGGGTGAGCCCTAATCTGACAACCTCCCTCGCGTCCCCGCAGCCGCCTGTGATGCTGCCATCCCCCATCGCCCCGTGGCCCCACGATGCCCCACAGCCCCGCGTCCAGCGAGGACGAGGAACGCCACAGTGCCAGCGAGTGTCCCGAGGGAGGCTCAGAGTCCGACAGCTCCCCAGACGGGCCCGGGAGAGGCCTCCGGGGGACCCGGGGCCGGGGCAGCGGGGCACCTGGTAATCTGGCCTCAGTGCGAGGCCTCCAGGGCCGCTCCATGTCCGTCCCCGACGACGCTCACTTCAGCATGATGGTCTTCAGGATAGGCATCCCGGATTTGCACCAGACGGTGAGTGATCGCGGGGACAGAGGGACTGAGTGGGCATGGGTGCTCACTCAGGAAACCGCCCCCACCCCCACCCCCATCTACAACACACCTCAGGCCCCAACTTGGCTCCTGACACGCCCTTGCTCTGGCCTCCCGGTTCCCTCCACCAGAAATGCCTGCGCTTCAACCCGGATGCTACCATCTGGACTGCCAAGCAGCAGGTGCTCTGTGCCTTGAGCGAGAGCCTGCAGGATGTTCTGAACTATGGCCTGTTCCAGCCGGCCACCTCTGGCCGGGATGCCAACTTCCTGGAGGAGGAAAGATTGCTTCGGGAATACCCCCAGTCCTTTGAGAAGGGGGTCCCCTACCTGGAGGTGAGACCCGTTAACCTTCCACCCCTTTCAGCTGACAACACAGAGAGTGTCCCCCAACACGTCTGTTCTCCCCTTTATCCACTAAGCCTTGGCCAGGGAAAACCCAGTGGGTAATTTCAGATCTCTCTGACGTTGGACAAGACAATTCCCTACCCCAAGCTTCTCCTAACCCACCAAATGGAATGGGGGACTCCCATCTTGGCATTCTAGAACATTCGCGGCAGACTTCTGCTTCTTCATGTTAAGGGCTGCAGACTCCCTACTCCCACAATGGCCTGGTATTCTCAGAAAAGTCAACTCCACCCTCTGTCTACCCTGAGCTCAGAAGGGGCTGGAAAAAGGGGGCAGGCCCTGGTCCTCCAAGTCTCCTCCCTCAGATACCATCTGGATTCTGAGTCTCTGTTTTTCTCCTTTCGCATGCGCTGGCCTCAGTTTCGATACAAGACTCGAGTTTACAAACAGACCAACCTGGATGAGAAGCAGCTGGCCAAGTTGCACACGAAGGTGAGAGATCTAAGTCCCCCCAGAACCCCTTTCCCTGCTCTCCATACATACCATTCACAAGGTAGAAGTTCAAGCCCACAGTGCTCTTCAGGAGAAGGATGAAGCTTTCAGCTCCCACAAAGATTTACAGCCTCAGAAACCCTATTCAGGGGCGCTATGAGTCAGAATCGGCTTGACAACACTTAACAATGCCACCTTTCCAACAATTCTTCTATTCCATTTTCAGGCTTCCCTACCCCACTCCACCCCCCACCCCCCATCCCCGCCAGCCCCCAATCACAACCATGGGCATTGAGTTGATTCTGGACTCATAGCAACACAATGGGACAGAATCAAACTGCCCCACAGTGTGTCCAAGGCTATAAATCATTCTGGAACTAGACTGCCTCATTCTTCTCCTTTGGAGCGGCTAGCAGACTCAGACAGCTGCCCTTTCAGTTTAGCAACTGAGTGCTTAACTATGTTGCCACCAGAGCTTCTCTTCTGTCATAACCTAACCCATTTATTGCTCAGCCCAGTCCCACACCAGCTGGATCCCATATCCTTCACCCTTTGACATCTCCTGTTTGTCTCCTCCAACACCTCCCATATATCATTCAGGACCCCATCCCCTGTCCCTGTTTGTGACCCTGACACCCAGTTTCTCCATCCTTGGGAGACATTGCAGACATACTCTGCATTACCCCCAATCCCATCTCCCAAATCTCACCAAAACCAAGGTTCACTCCCACACCTCCAGCCACATCTGTCCCCCAGTTCCTTTGCCCTCCGATCTTCCATGTAGGTCTTCTCTGACCCCCCTAATCTTCAAGAACTAGGAAGACTGCTGGGGTGGGTAAGCTCTTTGCTCAAAGGTGACGTGAGGGAGTCTTGACATTTGGTGAGAAAGTCCCCACCATCCCCGCCATCCCTGCTCATCCAAAGCCCCCTCCCCAGTCCTACCACATTTCAACCCCTGGTTCTCTTAAGCTTTCAGTTTCTGCAGAATTGCGCTGCCTCTCCCAATGAGAGGACCACTCCCAATGTGGCAAGTCCCAGCCGAGTGCCCAACATAATTCTGGCTTTTAATACGATAGTGACAAGTTTTATACGGCTAACTTGTTGCAGTGATGATGTTTTGGATCCATTGCTGTTGAGTTGATTGAGACCCCTAGTGTTCCTAAAGGACAGAGTAGAACTGCCCTGTAGGGTTTCCAAAGCTGTGAATCTTTAGGGAAGCAGACAGCCTCGTCTTTCTCCCATGGTGCAGCTGGTGGGTTTGAATGGTCAACCTTTCAGTTAGCACCTGAGGGCTTAACCACAAAGTTACCTGGGCTGCTTGGTTCAATACCAGAATTGTTGAAATTCATTTCAGTAAGTGGTTTTTCCTTCCATTTCTTAAAGGTGGCTACTAACTCTCCCTCCTCCCATGTCCCATGGGGTTGCTATTCTTCCTTGACTGGCTTAGCTCTCCCTTTCTTCCTTTGCCTTTGTTCTTTCCCAAACCCCAGTTCTTTCTTTTTTGGTTAAAAATAGTCTGTCTTCCTTTCCCATTCATGTCCTCAGTGCAAAGCTTCTCTCCATAGATGCCCGAAGAACCACATTTTAAATGATCTCTGTTGCTTGAAGTGTATCTGTATCAGACAGATCTGCCTGTTGTTAGCGCCTTCCGGTCAATTCCTAATTCATGACAACCTCATGTATGTCAGAATAGAACTGTGTTCCATAGGGTTTTCAGTGGCTTTATTTTCAGAAGTAAATCGCCATACTTTTCTTTTGAGTCATCTTGGGGTAGACTTGAACTGACAACCTTACCCTGCCTTCTCTTTCTGTGTGGCTCAGACGGGGTTGAAGAAGTTTCTGGAGTATGTGCAGCTCGGGACATCTGACAAGGTGGCGAGGCTGCTGGACAAGGGGCTGGACCCCAATTATCATGACTCGGATTCGGGAGGTGGGTAGGGACTCGGCACCTAGGGAGAAACCAAGGTAGGGAACAGATGGTGTGGGCAGAAAACCGGGGCGTTGGGGAGAATGAAGACTGCATGTGACTGGGCTTCCCCCGCCAACTCCCCACCCCATCACCTCCCCACAGAGACCCCCTTAACTCTGGCTGCGCAGACTGAAGGCTCCGTGGAAGTGATTCGAACCCTGTGCCTGGGTGGGGCCCACATCGACTTCCGGGCGCGAGACGGCATGACAGCCTTGCACAAAGCCGCTTGTGCGCGCCATTGCCTTGCTCTCACGGTGAGGCTGCAAGACCCCCAGACCCAGGCTCCCTGTGACCACCCCTCCAATTTACCATGGGGCCCTCCCTCTCCCCTTGGCCTGAGACAGCTAGTTTCAGTCTACTTAAGGGCCATTTCAGACACACCCTTTGTCCCTCAATCCCAGTGCCAAATCTCAACCAAATCAAGGCTCACTCCCAACCATATCTTACCTCAGCTCAGGTTCCCTGTGACTCCCCCATCTCCAAGAGCAAATTGCCCTCACACTCTCCCTACTTTTCCATTCCTCTTGCCCCTCCTGTTTGCCTCCCAGACGCCCCCTTCCACGTGCCATGGGCTGCCATTCTTCTCCCTCCCTGGCCTTCCCTCTGTCTCTGTCTCTGTCTCCCTATCCTCCTTTGGCCTTTGTTATTTCTCAAACCTTAGTTCTTTCTTTTGGGTTGAAAAGAGTCCCTCACTGTGTCCCAGATACAAAGCCCTTGCCAGTTACTGTCAAGTTGATGCCCACTCTTGGCGACCCCATGTGTGTTAGTGTAGAACTGGGCTCCATAGGATTTCCAGTGGCTGATTTGTCTAAAGTAGATCACCAGACTTTTCTTCTGAGGCACTTCTGGGTGGGCTCAAACCTCCAATGTTTTGGTTAACGGCCGAGCACATCAACCTTCTGTACCACCTAGCAGAGGACGTTGGCTGGAATCAGTCAACCAGTACCTGTAGAGTCAGCTCCAACTCCCAACAGGCCCCGGGGGCAGAGTAGAACTGTGCTCCATGGGTTTGTTTTACAGTGGTTAGCTTTTCAGAAGCAGCTTGTCAGACCTTTCTTCGGCAGCACCTCTGAATGGGCTCAAACCATTTGTAACACCCAAGGATTGCCAAATACCAAGCCCTGTAGTCGCTTCTCCAGATGAATCAGAAACCTTCTCCCAGGCCCTCAAGTACACCCACCCTCCTGGGCCTATTCTTAGCTGACCCTCATACTCTTCCCTCACCTCAGATAACAGATCATACACTCTCACAAATTTACCTAAGCCACAGCCTCCCCCACTCCATCCCACCCTCAAAGTTTCTTCATTCCGTCTGACCTAACTCAACACCGTACTCTGTCCTTCCAGGGTATAGATCCTCCTCCTTGTTGTTATTGGGGGCTTCAGGTCCACTCCGACAGAGTAGAACTGTCTCATTGGGTTTTCTAGGCTATCATCTTGATGGGAGCGGAAAACTAGGTCTTTCTCCTAAGGAGCTGTTGGGAGGATTTGAAGTACCAAACTATCAATTAGGAGTTGTGTGCTTAGCTGCTGTTCCACCGGGGCTTCAGATGATCCTCAAAAAAATACACACACCAAAAACCCAAAAGCAAAGCCAAACTCACTGCCACCAATTCGATTCCAACTCATAATGACCACTATATAGGGTTTCTGAGACTGTCACTTCTTTATGAGAGTAGAAAGCCTCATCTTTCAAGCTACTCAGAAATCCTATACAAGGTCACTATGAGTCAGAACCAACTCAACAGCACTTAACACTGTGACCCCAGATACAGACCCTCCCTCATGTACTCCCTGAAAACACAGCCCCTCCACATGCATTGCCCAAATACTAGTCCTCACACATCCCAACAATTGTGCCTCCAAAGCCAGTCCCCTCTCATCCCCCAAATATACTCCCATTCTCTCACATGCAGATATTGTTAAGTGCCATTCAGTGGTTCCAACTCATAGTGACCTTGTATAGGATTTCCAGGGCTTTAAATCTTTGCAGGAGCAAAAAGCCTCATCTTTCTCCTGGAGAGTGGCTGGTGGGTGCGAACTGCCCCCTAAATGCAGTCCCTGGATCTCTCAGTCTCCGGCTGGCACCAGCACTGTTTTTTCTTGTTGGTTGCTGTTGAGTTCATTGTGACTCATGGGAACCCCATGTGTGCCTAATAGAAATGTGCGCCATAGGATTTTCTTAGCTCTGGTAGCGTAGTGGTTACGAACCGGGCTGCGAACCTTAAGGTCAGCGGTTCGAAACTACCAGGCGCTCCGCGGGAGAAAGATGAGGCTTTCTACTCCCGTAAAGATTTACACCCTCGGAAACCCTGTACAGGGTCGCTATGGGTCGGAACCGACTCAATGGCACTTAACAACAACAACAATTTTTACAGAGAAGGGGTGCTGGAGGTTCAGTGAGTGATGAAGTGCTTTTCTCCTAACCAAAAGTTTGGCTGTTCAAACCCATCAGTTACTCCTTGGGAGAAAGATGTGGCAGTCTGCTTCTGTAAAGATTTACAGCTTTGGAACCCCCTGGGATAGTTCTACGCTGTTCTGTAGAGTCACTATGACCGGATGACAAGAGTTTTAATCTTTATAGAAGCAGATTGCCAAGCCAGTCTTCCATAGTTGTTAAGTGCCATCGAGTCAGTTCCGACCCATAGCGACCCTGAACAGGGTTTCCGAGGCTGTAAATCTTTACGGGAGCAAAAAGCCTCATCTTTCTCCCATGGAGCAGCTGGTAGTTTCGAACTGCTGACCATGTGGTTCGCAGCCCAATTCGTAACCACTATGCACATCTGGATAATTTCAAACCACCAACCTTTAGGTTGACAAATAAAGTAGGGACCTTAGTGGTCTCATGTTGTTGTTGGTTGCTGTCGAGTTCATTCGACTTAAGTTGACACCAGGTATTACAGAGTAGATCTCTTCCCTAGGTTTTTCTGGCTGTAACCTTTATGGAAGCAAATAATTGCCAGACTCTTTTCGTGGCAGAGTTGCGTGGGTTCAAACCACAAATCTTTGAGTTAGCAGTTGAGCACTTAACTTTTGCACCACCTTGGCCCTTAAAAACTCCATGTATCCACCAGATACACAGCACACTGGCTTATAGAGTCTTATTTAAAAAGACCCTTCGTTGCCCCCAAACTAGGTTACTGTCCCCTCTCCATATATGTGTCAGTCTAGACTACCTTCCCAAATACCCAGCTGTTCATAAATATCCCAATTCACAATCCTCCAGATTGAAGGACTTTCTCCTTCCTTCTCTAAACTCTAATCCCGCTGATTAATTGATGGATTGTATTTTCAGCAAAAGTTTACAAAGCAAATTAGGTTCCCACTAGAAACTCCAGATTTCCATGTAACACTTTGTGTGAATTTTGTTCACTGACACTCGTTACAGTTTTTCACAATGTGTCAACAATCTCGTTTCCATTCTGTTGGTTCTGTTTCTATGAATCTAGCTTCCCTGCCCCCTCTTAGCTTCTCATCTTTGTTTTATGATAAATATTTGACTATTTCGTGTCACATAGATGATAATTTAAAGGAGCATGGTACTCATGAGTGAGAGATAGTGTTTCTCTTATAAGCCCAACTACGATTTGGTTGAAAGATGATCTCACGTAGCGGGTTCAGTTCTAAGTTTAAAGAGTGTCTCCCGGCAAGTGTCTTAAGTGATCCTCTAATCTCTAGCAGTCCAGTAATTCTGACACTTTTTAGGAATTTTAACTTTGTTTTCCTTTTTTTTCCCCATTCTATCTGGAACCATCTACTACATTTCTAGTCTGAATGATTATTGATGGTAATGGGACACCATCTAGTGCTTTTGATCTCAGCACAGATGGGTCAAATCCCTCTTAAAGATCTGCATTAGACCCCTGGAATCAACAGACTCTCTTTACACACACCCTGAAACCCAGATCCTGCTCACAACCACATCCCCTGAAGACCTGCACTGGCCAATACAATAGTCACTAGCCCTGTGTGGATATTGAAAACAATTTTTAAAACACTTGTGTTTGGGGGAAGGCTTACACAACAGCTTAGGTTCCCATTCAACAGTCTCTACAGAAAATTGTTCAATGACATTGCTTATATTCTTCACCATTCATGAACATTGTCATTATTTCCATCTGGTTCTTCCATTTCTAGCAATCCAAATTCTCTGTTCCCTTCCATTCTCATCTTTTTTGACTATTGGGTCTCCTACAGGTGATTTTTTACAGAGGTGCAGTACTTATGGGTGATGGTCATTAATTTTTTGTGCCCTCTGTTAATTAGCTCCAAGGTGACTTCAGGATTTGAAGAGTATCTCAGGCACGTGTTCTTAAAGAGTGTTCCTTCTCAACCAGTCCAGTAGATCTGGCTGATTTATTTTTTTAGTAATTTAAGATTTCCTCCTCCCAGGGTCCATTTATTGTGATGGGGCTATTGAAATTTAAAGTTATTAAAATGGAATAAAATAAAAAACTGAGTTCCTCAGGCCCACTGGATGCATTCAAATGCTCAGTAGCCCCACATGGCTGCCATATTGGATGGCGCAGGTGTACAACATTCCCATCCTTGGGAAAGGTTGCATGGGACAGCGCCACTGCCAACATTCTTGCTAATAGTGCTCCATGTTGCTAGCCTTCCAAGAGAGCTGCCCCTTAAGTGAGACCACTCCTTGCCCCCAAGCCCCCAGCCCATTGGGCTCTCCCACTATTTTCCTCAAACCAAGCTTACCCTTTCCTAGGTTTCCCTCCTTTGTGCCCCATCTTGGGGGTCCTGGTCCTAGCAACAGCTCCTGGTTGGCCAAGAACCCTCTTGTTTCCGGGCTCCATTTGTCCCCTACAACCACCTTGCAGAGTAGATGGACAGTTGAGGTCACTGAGGCTCAGAGTCCTTCAATGACTTATCCACATCATCCGTGGGGGGCAGGATGTGAGAGTGAGAGCCCTCTGGGTGCATTCCCACAATCCCCTCTCACTGTTCACAGTGATGTCAAAGACTTGGAAGTGAAGTGGAGATGCCCTGCTTTCCTACCTTCTCATCCCCAGACCCCTGATCCTGAGTCTCTGTGTCTCTCCTCCCATCCCATTCTCAGCCTCAGATTCAATAGACCTGAGTTTTGAGGGTTCAAGCTTGCACAAGGGCATAATGGCAGAACTGAGACCACCACTGACTGATGTAGGACATCCAGGACTCTGCCCCCACTCCATTGACACCCCCTCCCCATGTATTTTACTCCTGAAATCTCTCCCCCTTCCTAGGCACTCCTGGATCTTGGGGGCTCCCCCAACTACAAGGACCGCCGGGGGTTGACCCCTCTGTTCCACACGGCTATGGTGGGGGGTGACCCCCGCTGCTGTGAGCTGCTTCTATACAACAGAGCCCAGCTGGGCATCGCTGATGAGAATGGCTGGCAGGAGATTCATCAGGTGCTCCCAGTCTGGCCAGGAGGAGCTGAAGACAGTGGGGGTCTGGGCCCTGAGAGAGACAGGAGGCGGGGACCCCAGTGCTGGGTCACTATTGTCCAAGGGGCTGGAGATCCAGATGCTTGGGTCCTTACCAAAGGTTGGGGTATCATGGTCCCCAAAGAGGAACAGTATGAGGGTGTAGATAACAGGGCCCCAAGGAGGCACAGACTTGGGGCTGGAGACCTTGGACCCCAACATGGGTAACCATCTGGACCTTGGAATGACTAAACCATTCTAGATCCCTAAGCAAGCAAAGGAGCTGACAGGAGAAGGGGCTATCCAGGACTCAAAGCAGAGGACATAGATTAATCTTGGCCCCAGGAAACCAGGGAACCCCCACTCATGGTCCCTTCTTCCCCAGGCCTGCCAGCGGGGTCACTCGCAGCACCTGGAACACCTGCTCTTCTATGGAGCTGAGCCTGGAGCCCAGAACGCCTCAGGGAATACAGCCCTGCACATCTGCGCCCTCTACAACAAGGTCTGGCCTGGCAGCGCCCACCCTCAGCCACCTCCCCACCTTCTGTTCTTCATTATTCTCATTCATTCATTCATTCATGTATGCATGCATTCAGCGAATATTTACTGAACCTTGTACTAGTCTCCTTCATTCATTCAAGCATGCATGAAATCAACCAGTTTTTACTGAACTTCACTGTTCTCATTCATTCATTCATGTATGCATGCATATATTCAGCAAAGATTTACTGAGCTCCTTTCCTATTCTCATTCAATCAATCATTTGATATTTACTGAGCCCCAAGCTGGGTGCTGGAGATAAAGTAGTGTGAGATGAACAGCTCTTTCCCCTTGGGGTGCTCGTGGGGTAGCAGGGGTTGGACCACACATGATGTGATGCAACTACAATTTGGAGTGCCCTAGATTGTCATTTGTGCCTGGGGGTGGAGATAAGAGGGGGCTTCCTGGCAGATGGACCATGTGTTCTAAAGAGCTGAAAGATGAATAATAGCCAAGTTGGAGAGGTGGAAGGAAGGATGTTCCAGGGAGAGGGAACAGCCTCTACAAAATTCCGGAGTTGAGAAATAGTAGGACACATAACAAGGAACCCTGGTGGCACAATGATGAAAGTGGTCAGCTGCTAACCAGATGGTTGGCTGTTCAAACCCATCAGCCGCTCCATAGGAGAAAGATGTGGCAATTGACTTCCGTAAAGATGACAACCTTGGAAACCCGATGGGACAGGGTTTCTTCTCTGTCCTGTGGGATCATGATGAATCAGAAATCTATTCGACAGCAAGAGGTTTGGTTTGGGGGTTTAGAGTCCAGGACAGAAAGTATAAAAGGCGTCCAGCGGTGCTCATTTCCCGCGCAATAAAGCACCTACTATATGCAGGTGATGCGTGGGTGTGGAATAAAAAGGCCAAGCCACAGCCCTGGAAGAGGGTCAGCAAACCACGAGCGTGATGTAAGATTTAACCATTCAGACTGGGTGGTCGGTTCCGACTTCAGGAGAGACCAGGAGAGGGGGACACAGAGATTTGGCAGGGGTGTTACTGCCACCACTTGTGCTACACTGTGATGATAGCTGGCAGGAACCCGACCTTTCAGTCTGGTGGGGCCATAGGGGGCCAGGGTTTGACATGGGCCTCCTCCTCCTCTCCAGGAAGTCTTCCAAAACAGCCCCAAGCCCCTTCTGCGTCATCAGGACTTACCGTCCCGGGGCTCTGGCACGCAGCCACGCGCTGCCTTGTGGCGGCAAACAGTATGCTTGGCACCCAGGAAGGACTGTTTGTCAAACCAAACCAGCACTGGGCCTGCTCTTCTCCTCCCGGCACAGGCCCGCCTTTCCTCACTAGCCAATGCCCTACCCTCCCGGAAATGGAAATGGGAATGCCGCCCACTGATTGGCAGAGATGCGTGTTCATGTATATTAAGCACCCAGTGGTAATGAGTCAGGCTGCTAATATCAAAGTCAGCAGTTCGAATCTACCAACCGTTAGGCGGGAGAAATATGAGGCTTTCTGCTCCCATAGAGATTTACAGTCTCAGAAAGGCTATGTATGGTGGCATGCTGGGTTAAACTCTGTGCTGCTCACTGAAAAGTCAGCGGTTCAAACCCATTCTCTATACCTGGGAAGAAAGATATGTGCTCTGTAAAAATGTCAGCCCCCCCATACCCCAGGAGACAGTTCTACTCTAGTCTATAGGGTCGTGATGATTCGAATCGACTCGAATCGTAGGCTTTCTGCATTTTAGGATAATTACAACTATCCTTGCGTGGCACAGTAGGATAAGCACTGGATTGCAAGGTCATTTTGAACCGCGGTTCAAGCTCACCATCCGCTCCTCTGAAATCCTCTGCAGGATCGCTATGAGTCGGAACTGATTCAAAAGCACGTGACAACAACAATGTTTCATTACAGGCACATCCTGTTTTTATTGCGTTTTACTCTGTGGCGCTTCACAGATCCTGCGGTTGTTTTTTGTTTGTTTGTTTTTTACGAATTGTAGGTCTGTGTCCACCCTGGGTCGGGAAAAATCTTTTTTCGCACGTGTGCTCGGTCTGTGTGCCGTGTTAGTTCATTCTCACAAGATCTCATCAACTTTTTCCGAATGCTACTAGGCACTTCATAGACCATATATAGTCTAGTGTCAACGTAACTTTACTGCATCAGAAAACCAAAACATTTGTGTGACTCACCTTGTTGAAATATTCACTTTATTGTGGTGGTCTGTAAAAAAGATACCTATCTTTGCTATGGGTCGGAACCGACTCGATGGCACATAACAACAACAACAACAACAATCTTTGAGATCTGCCGGTAAATGACGTAACTAATACGATCTGTCGCTATTGTTAGGTGTCATTGAGTCGATTTTTTTCCTAGGCCGTAACTGGGTCGCTATGAGTTTGAACTGACTGGACAGTATTTACAACGACAGCAGTCTTTATGAAAGCAGATCGTCAGGTCTTTCTTCCAAGGAACCAGGAAGACGGTTCAAACCTTTCTGTTAGCATTCGTGAGCTTAACCACAAAGCCACCAGAATTCCTTCAACAATAGCCGCAGCACATTTTGTTACTATTAATATTATACGTTGTTAATGTTGTTATGTGCAGTTGACTCAGTTCCGACTCACAGAGACCCTGTATAGGGTTTCCAAGGAGTGGTTGGTGAGTTTGAACTGCCAACCTTGTGGTTCAAACTGACCTTGTGGTCCAGTGCTTTATCCTACAGCACATTATATGTTATTGTTGTTGTTAAGGGTCGTCGAGTCTGTTCCAACGCATAGTGACCCTGTATATGGTTTCCCAGGAGCAGCTGGTGAATTTGAACTGCCGACCTTGAGATTGAAACCGAGCTTGCAGTCCAGCGCATTAGCCCACATCTCCATACCAGGACTCCACCTTAAACAGTATGCTGTAGTAATAGAATTAGTAGTATATGTTGTTAAGTGCCATGGCACCAGTTCCAACTCATATTGTTAAGTGTCATGGTGTCGTTTCATCTCATAGTGATCCTGTATAGGGTTTCCAAGGAGGAGCTGGTGGATTGAACCACTGACCTAGCAGTTAGCAGTCCAGTCCTTCTCCTACAGTGCCCCACCAGGACTCCATTCCAATTCATAGGGACCCTGTATAGGGTTTCCAAGGCTGTAAATCTTTGCAGGAGCAGAAAGCCTCATCTTTTTCCCTTGGAGCGGCTGGTGGCTTCAAACCGCCGACTGTATGGTTCACAGTCCTATGCTTATCCTATAGAGCCACCACGCTCCCCTAATATCATGTTGTTGTTAGGTGTCGTCAAGTTCTGACTCATAGTGGCCCTCTGTACAACAGGACGAAACACTGCCCAGTCCTGTGCCATCCTCACACTCGTTACGTGTGAGCCCACTGTTGCTGCCACTGTATAATATAACAGAAATGATTTATTAACATTAATTAGGTGGCATTAGATTAATCAATATTATCATCCCTTAATAACATTATCAGCATTATCATTGCCATATCAGTCAAGGCCCAATCAGGAGACAGAAACTGTATCATCATTTATTTGAACAGGGAAAATTTATTTTTTAACTGTTTTCTTGGGGTGAAAATATACATAACTAAACATATGCCGCTTGAACTATTTCTACATGTACAATTCAGTGACCCCGATTGCGTTCTTCAAGGAGGTCATTCTCACCCTCCTTTCCCAAATCATTTCCTTCACCATGATCATAAACCCAATGCCCTCTAAACAGAATCTCTTCCTTTCTCCCTCCCTCACACCCCTGGCAACACAAATCATCTTTGGTTTCTATATATTTGCTTATTTCATCTAAGATCATGCCGTATTTGTCCTTTTGCAACTACTGATGTATTTCGCTTGGCGTAACATCTTCAAGTTCTATCCGTGTTGCCGCATGCATCTAGATTTCGTTGCTCTCTGTGGCTGAAAAGCTGTTTCATTGTGTGGCTGAACCACATTGTATGATGGGCGTTTTGGTTGTTTGCAATGAACAGGGGGTGTTTAGTATCAAGGACAATATAACGTGCACATTTACGTTTACCGGGATAGATGAACAAATCGCTTCCCCTTCTTGAGTTTCCCCTTCCTAGTCTTGGTGCAAAGGATCAAGTGAGTGAACAATGGGCTTGCTTGTGGCATGGTACTGAACACACAGATGCTAAACAAACGTAGCCAAAGCAGGCTCTTTTTCTTCTTTTGTCTCCTTGTGTGTGGAGCACTGGTGGTTGGTGCAGTAGGTTAAGCATTGGACTGCTAACTACAAGGTCGGTGGTTCAAATCCACCTGTTGTTCCTCAGGAGAGAGATGAGGCTGTCTGCTCCCATAAAGATTTACAGTCTTGGAAGCCCTATGGAGGAGTTCTTCTGTGTCCTAGAGTCGTTATGAGCTGGAATCAACTCTGTGGTGGTGGGTTTGGTTTTTTGGGATGTTGTGGGTTTTGTTTGTTTGTTTGGTGTGTGATTGATGTTGAGTTTCCTAAGTACCAGAACTGGGTTTGACAGTTTTTCCTCCTCTCTGCTGCCCTGGCCTCCGGACATGCCTATTTAACCTCTCGTGGTGATTGTTAGGGTACAGAAACCTTACAGACAGATGTCTACTCTACCCCATCGGTCCATAGGAGTCAGATTGGATTTGATGGCTGTGGGTTTAGTTTGGGTTTGGCGATTGTTGGGCTGGGAGCTCCTCATGGATAGGGAATAAGTCTGAGGAATTGCTCTGTCCCCAGGCCCCAGCACATAGTGGGTCCAGGTGCATCTCTGTGGAGTGAGGGACTGATGCATCTCCCATCTTGGATTTCCCCCAAGACCCCAAACAATGTCTGGCACAGAAAATTCAACAGGTGTTTGCTTCACGGCCAATTGAATAGACTCACAAATGAATGAATGACTTGAATCAGTGAATTTTGAATGACTTAACTCTACATCTTTCCATCTTTATTTGTTGTGTGCATCTTTCTTAAGCACCTACTGTGTCCCCTGTTCCAGGCGCTGGGGATGTGGTATTGAATGA